GGGCGGCGGCAGGCGGGGCTCAGGCGGCTAGGCAAGGGGCCCGGGGCGCCGCGCCGTCAGGCGTCCTTCCCTGCGGGGCTTTGTCAACTCTCCCGGAGCGAACGCCGAGCTCGCCGCGCGCCCCGCCCCGTACAACTTCCGGCCAATCGCCGCGTGCCGGCCCGCCCCCAGCCCCGCCCCGCCCCGCAACTTCGCTCCAATCGACGAGCGCGTCAACCCGGCCACGGCTTAACCCTAGCCGCGCGGCTGCAGCGGCGGCTGGCAGGCGGCTTCCCGCGGGTGCCCCGCCCCTTGGGCTCAGCCCGCTGCTCCCGGATCGCGCCGCACTCCCGCGCAGACACGCTGCCCCAGATAGTTCCTGCGGGGTCGCGGCACACATCCCAACCCTACACCGGCCCCTGGAACTGCCGTTGCCGCAGTCTCCAGCCCAGGCCACCCTCTGGCGTCCGAGGAGCCCTAAGCAGCTCGGAGATCCGGCTAGAGTGACGTCCCGATGACCAGAGCCCTCACCTGGCTTCTTCCCGCGGGTCCGGGAGTGGCTGCGACCGCAGGGACAGGGCTTACAATAAGATAGGACGCGGCCTTTGCCCCCTCCTCGGCGGGCAGGTGTCTCCCTCGTCCGGGATCCTGGAAGGCAGGTGGTGCCCCCGACGCTGCCATCGGCAGTGTCCGAGCTTGCCCCCACCGACTCCCCATGTCTCTTCCCCAGATAGCGTCGCCTGGGTCCGCGGCACTTTCTGCTGCACCGCGACCGCCGAGTCTGTGACCTGGGCCGGAAACCGCTGGGCCCTCCTTCAGGCAGCCTCGAGGACGGGGGCAGTGAGACCACCTGCCTTCACAGGTCACGGCGGGTCCCGGGCCACGTGGGGACGCCGACACCCGCGGTCACCGACACGAGGCCCTAACGTTACGGTGGGGACACTGCCTGGGCGTCAACCTCTGGGCAGGTGCGCGGTGCCCAGGGCAGGTGCGCGCCAAGATGACTCCAGATGTGCAGATCCAAGAGGGTGATGGGCATAAGGTGAAGATAGGTCCAGGGCAGATGCCGCCATCCCAAGCGGTGGGGAGGCGGACTAAGCTGGCCAAGACCCTGCCCAAGTCCCTGCCTTCAGTTCCCCGCCGCCACCGCCCCTCCACCCGTCCCGGTGCGCGGCTGCCCCCTGGCGGCAACTCTCCGAGCTGCCCGACCCTGCCCCACCCCGCCACGTCCCGCCTGGGCCACGGCGCAGCCAAGCCGGAAGCTTTGCATTGCCCACCACCCCGACCCTTTTGCGGCCCCGCTCCCAGCCCCGCAGTCCTCGGAAGCTGCCTAGAGCGGGGACCACAGAAGCAGGAGCGAGTCCTGCCCTTTCAAAGGTGAAGCCCAGGTCGGCGGTTCCGGGTCGCATTGCCGGCCTACATTGGCTCCATGGCCTTGCTACAGGGTTGACATGGGTCACCCTCATGCAGGTAAGCCCCAGGGGACCTCTCGCCCTTTCTGTGATCTTCGGGCTGAGCCGCTGGCCCGGCTCTTTGCCAGTTCCTCCCTCCTCCTCTCCTGCTACATGTCGTGCCGAGCAACAGAAACGAGGTGGCTTCTTGCAGGTGCAGAGATCCCAAAGAGCTGGGCAGCAAAGCGAGGGCAAGGACCAGGTTCACAGTGTGAAAAAAAACCACAAAAAATAACCAGTGATGAATACATGTGAAACTCAAGACACAGACATCCACACACAGGATGGGGACCCCAAGACAGTCCTGCTTATCACCCAGGCATGGGAGCAAGGTAGAATGCAGATGCAGGGAGCCCAGAAGGGCAAGAACAGCATGAGGACAGAGTAGGCGAGAGCAAGAAGAAAAACACCCCAAGTGGGAGACAGGCAGCCCCAAAGGAGCACAGCCCTGCAGGGACCAGGCAGGTGCCATGTCCATAGTTGGAGCAGGGTGCCTTGAGATTCAAGGACTGCAGAGTAGAGGTGGGAGACCAGGTTCACCCTAGAACAGGCAGCTCTGGGCCCTCTCAAGGGTCACAGAGCTGTCCAGTAACTCAGACACAGGTAGGAATGTTTCCAGGGATACAGGAAAAACCCAGCACAAAATCCCAGTCCATTCAAACGAAGCAGGTGTGAGAAGAAGCAGCACGAAATTGCAACCGATGGTGGGGGAGGTGTCAGTCCAAAGTGACCCAGCAGGGACAGATGCAGAGCTAGCAGGTGAGGACATCACACACAGTTGGTCACTGTGTCCATGTCCAGGATACGGGTGCTGCACAGAGATATGGGAAAACCTAAAGCCACAGCCGACTGCTAGAAGTGAAGCCTGAGTGCCCGCCTGGGATTAATGGCAAATTGAAAAAGCAAGAGTTGCTGACCTGGACTGAGACAGAGCTGTCCCAGATGAAGCAGAGACACAGGCTCTGCCATTGTGGCAGGCCATGAAATGCCAGGGAAATTGGATCTCTGCAGGGGAGGAGAGGCAGGTAAAGAGCAGAAACTGCTCTTAAGAAAAAAGATCCGATCTGAGCAACTGCTCTGAAGATAATATGCAATATAAGAAACGTTGATTTCTTCCCTTGTTTTGGAGTTCTAGATTGATTGATTGATTGATTGATTGATTGTGTGAGTGGCCAGCTCAGCCCACCAGGGGGCGGGGCGGGCTGGCATGTGGTGCCGGGGATTGAACCGTGCTCCCTGTGCTTTGCTAAGCTTGTTCTAAGTAGGTGCTTTAGACCACTGAGCCATCTCACCAGCCCTCTATATTGATTTTAATAGTTTTTTTTAATTCTCTTTAAAATAAAAAAGAAGAGCTGGGGAGATAGCTCAACATCCTAAGTGCCTGCCTGGCAAGCACAAGGACCCCGGTTCGATCCCTGTTACCACATGCTATGCCACCGTGCTGGCTACTGAAACGGCATGGTGCACACGCCTGTAATCCCAGCACTGGGGAGGCTGAGACAGGAGGGTCAGTACAAGTCCAAGCTGCATAGCAAGACACTGCACCAAATAAAAAGATTACAAGGTAAAAGAAAGAGTCCAGCTTTCTCTGGAAATAATGAAGACAAACCCACATCTGTAAATGCAGAACAAAATCTAAGCACAAGAAACAAGAGCTGAGCATGGTGGCACACACCTGTAATCCCAGCACTGGGGAGGCTGAGGTAGGAGGATTGCTGTGAGTTCAAGGCCAGCCTGCGATGCACAGCAAAACCCTGTCTCAAAAAGATAAAGGAGGGAGGAGAGAATCTTCAGTGTCAGCAGCTGAAAACCAGCTCTGGAGAGCAGCTTTTCAGCAGCTTGGAAAAGGCAGCCTTTTGTGCAGCGTGGCAAAGAGGAGAACACTGCGGGCATCGTTCTGAAGACAGGACAAGAAGACAGCTGGCAGTGCCTGTGTACCACGAGGCAAATCCATTAAGGTGGTGTCTAGTACCAGTAAAAATGCCCTTCAAAACAAAACAAAGCAAGGAATTTTTCTGATTCAAAAAGCTGAAGAGGGCCTGCGGAGACAGCTCAGTGATCTAAGCATCTGCCTAGACAAACGGAAGGACCCGGGCTCGATCCCCAGTACTGGTACCACATGCCATGTTGCCTGCCCTGGGTGTGCCCAGCCAGCCACCGAGTCCGGGCGGTGGTGGCACATGCCTATAATCACAGCGCTGGTGAGGCTGAAACAGGAGGATCACTAAGAGGCTGAGCTGCACAGCGAGATCCTGTACCAAATACATTTTTTTAAAAATCTATGTTTGAAGTAATTGATAAAGTTAAAACAGTTCCTATGTATGGTGGGGTTTATGACATACACAGAAGTGAAAATCATCACAAGCATCTTCCCTCAAGTGGAAGGTGGAGCATCACTTGACAGCTGGCAGAGATGAGTTAATACTGAATGCTGTAAACCCTGGCAGAGCCTTTATTTATTTATTTATTTATTTATTTATTTATTTATTTATTTATTTTGTGTGCGGCCTGCTCAGCCCACCAGGGGCGGGCTGGCTGGCATGTGGTGCTGGGGGATTGAACCGCGGTCCCTGTGCTTTGCTAAGCTTGTTCTAAGTAGGTGCTTTAGACCACTGAGCCATCTCACCAGCCCCCTGGCAGAGCCTTTAAAAAACAAAAAGAATTTTTAAAAGATGTTGGGCCAGTGAGATAGCTCAGTGGCATAAATACCTGCCTGGCAAGCACAAGGTCCTGAATTCAATCCCAGTACCCCCCCCAAAATGCCATCAATAGCTGAACAAAACTATGGAAACCTATGAGTCCAAGCTGTATAGTAAGACCTTGTACCAAATACATTAAAAAAAAAAAAAGCTGGTGAGTGTATCACCCATGAGTGTTTAAAATGTATTAAAAGATAGTGACCATACAACCATATGGGAGCCTGAATCCACTCAAAGATTTGAAGAGCACTGGAAACAGAAACAGCATAAATAACCCCAAAGTGTCCCCTTAGTGTTTAAATTTCCCTAAAAAACAAGTGCATAAGCCAAAATAACACTAATACATTGAGTGGTTTATGCCATGAAAACGTAAAATATGGACTGATGCACAGGCTAGGAAGGAAAACAAAACAGTACTGGGAGCTATCCCCGTGCATGAGATGATAGGGTGCCTCCTGAAGTTAGGCGAGGGTGAGTTACAACAGGTAGTGAGAAGCCATGCTGTGTACGTCCTGGAGCCCAAGCTTCCTGGAGGCTGAGGCAGGAGGACTGATTCAGCAAAA